GAGAGATCCCACAATCCCACGCGCGCGAGAAAATACAAGATGGCTGCGGAACACGTGTCGGGCTATCGACAGCGAAATAAAAAAGATATTGTATTTCGAGAGACGATGACATCTGTCTATTATTATAATAATACCTAACGATAAAATAAATGATTTAGAAAAGTTTTTCTTGTTTAACTGCTTTCCCTATGACTTTTTCTAATTAAAAAAAAACCAATTTTTATGTTTATAAAATATTTTGAATGAAAAATATTAAAATATGTTATTATTTTTTTTTATTATTTATAAAAAAATATAGTTCTGGCATACACAATATTAAATTTTAACTGACTTAATTTTGTGAATGCATCTTTTTTATTTATATGGGTATCTTAAGGTCAGTTTTTGAGCTAATGTTGCTAATGCACCATTTGAGCGAAAAAAAAAATTGTTAAGGAAAAATTTTCTGTTTGCAAACCCTTTGTTAAATATTTCGAATATCACCACTGGTTACACTGTATATAAAGAAATAATAAACCAATTACCTGAAAGGCCAGCGTGGGCTATGAGAAAATTTCCTTGGTGATCTTGCTCTAAGAATTAAAGGTCGAGGTAACTCTTCTAAAACAGATGGAGCCACATATGTAAAACCCTATATCAAAAACATTAATAAGTCATTCATTATTATTTATCTACATAATATATTAAATACATTAGCATATATTTTAAAACTGAAATTAAACTAGAACTCAAACATAACTTTTATGCATATATAAAATTTAGAGATCAAATAGAAATATGAAATCATACAGAAAATAAAACAATTTATCACATCTAAGTTATGTCATACTCGATTTGAAGTTCAGAGATGATGTATTCTTATTGGCATAAAAAAATTATTTGTTTTTAAAGGAAGCTATAATAAATTGAAAGTTCTGATCATCTCTCTTTGTGTGTGGGATGGTGACTGTGACCATTCATTGTCAGTTGTTTCTCAGCACAGTTCATTTGTCATTGCTCTCTACAGTTCTCCTCTCTCATTATAGATAAATTTATTATTATTATTAAATAACTGTCATTTTTATTCTTAGTGTTAGGTAGTCCTTTGTTGTGGTCACTTAGTCTATCAAATATATTTATTAAAATACAGATAAAGAAAAATTAAAATAAGTCAATTTTGTATTGTTAAAGTATATTAATAATTTTAAATGTTATGTTATAGATTTAATGTTTTAATAATGAAATAAATAAATAATAAGTATTTGAAGAATTTTAGGCCATATGATGTTAAAAAGCTGGGTATATTAGACAGTCTATATATAATTTACTCTGAATTTTAATTTATAAATAACAAAAACTGTTTACTTTTATTTTCTGTATATTAGGGGTTCCCAAATTGTATTTCACAGGACCCTAGGGTCCTGTGAAATACAATAGACTCATCAGACTTTATTGGCAGAATCCATTCTGCCAATAAAATCTGATGAGTCTATTGATGTATGAATGTGCCAATGCATATTTGGGACATGAAGTGTAATGGTTCTAGTCTTGGATCAAGTCCTCTTATGACATCCTATACATGTGCTAGAGTTATTTATAGCTTTATAAATAGTGAGGACCAATTTATCTGTAACAAAATGAACTAAAATCTTGATATAATGTTTGACAAGGTAAAACCATAAAAATGGCAAAATTTAAACCAAAGCTAGAAAATCATTTTAAAAAATAACCTTATAACCTTAAAAAGTATCTAACATATAATAATACAGTTGTTAAATATGATAAAGTAATTTAACAACTGTATTATTATTTATTCATTGATATCTGCAGTGCAAGCCTATTTAATCTAATAATGGGAGAAGCCAGTCAGATGTCCAATGGAGTACCATTGGACATCTGACTGGCAATCTGACTGGGTTAAGTTGAAAACAAATCCAAAACTATACATACTTTGATACTAATGATGGAACACTCATGTCAGATGCTAGTGAAGGGGTTAATTAATTAATGTCTCATCATCTGTAGTATGTTGGAGTGCAATGGTACATCATACAAGCAGGCATATCAGTCAAAGATTATTAGTTTTGCACTGCATTTGTTTTGTGATATTTTTTTCACATAACAATATATTGGGAATCATATAAATTTATAGTGCTTTTAGTATTGTGTATATCCAAAATTAAAATATCATGGAGTGTTGGCCATGAGAAGGAGATTTGAAGAAAAATGTAGCAAATACTTCAAATGTTTATAGTTACAAGGAGACTGAAAAGGCAGATACCAACAAAGGTACAAATCCAGGCACTAAAGCTATTTAAAATATTGAAAGAAAATAAATTTTATCCATCACATTAATTATCAGTTTGAATTAAGTAATAATATTTGCTTTCTATTACTAATCTGTTTTTCTTCTTCAATAAATTGTCTTTGGTGTTTCTATTTACTGTTTTACCTATGATCATTAAAAATTGTCAGGGTGCCAACATTTTTTATTAAAGTGAAACACAATAAAAATAAGTTGGGAATTGTATTGTATTCCCTACGAACAATAATTTAAAAAAAAATGTCTTTGTCTTTATTTCAGACCAACATTAAAAAGGCTGATATATAAATTTAAAGTATTTAATTTAATTATATTTATTTATTTAATGTTTAATTTAATAGGTCCCAACATTTAAAATTATTTTCTTTTGAGAATATTTTGCTTATATCATTGTTGTTTTTCCTTCTAATAAAGTTTTGTAGATAAAAAACTGTTCACTTTTATTTCCTGAATTCTTTACAAACAATTACACTCATTAAAACATTACAGTCCTCTTCATATACAGTCCACTTTTGTATAGAAATGAATTAATGCGTTTATAGCATTAAAAAAATTATTATTTAACTATACTTAACAAAATCACAATGTATATTGTTGCATATAAATATGAAATATTTTAATCATAAGATATTGATAACAATTTAATATAATGGTAATAACTATTCATTCTCATAAATGGGGGATGAGTGGTTATGTACAATTATAAATATCTATGGTATTTGAAATTACACATACATTACTTTTATGTGAAAATTATTATATGTGATTATTTTTCTGTGTGCGCACTTTTCTTTTTACACACGACAATGGGATTTTTTTCCGTGCATAATTTTCATGCAAGCTTTTTTCATACACCCATTTTCAAAAATATTTACAATGGCAAACATGATTTATTGGGCAATCCACAATGCAATCATCTTGCAGAGGTTAATAAAAAATACTTATAATTATTCAAATACTTTAAATTTTGAGTTACCCCTCTTTTGATTTCTTCTGGATCTGTCACTGCAAGCAACAACAAAATAAAATATAAAATATAATAATACCATATCTCATATACTGTGTATGGATGATAAAAATGCTTTTACAATAAAGTCTTGATAGTTTGAGGCACTACCACCTTTAAACCAAAGTGCACATACTAACCACAATGCATAAAAATTACATATTTGGGTAATTCAAATAAAGTTTATGATGAGACACAATACACTGAAAAATGTAACATCTACTTTCAATTTATTGAATTGTGAAATGATATACAGTAAGACCCTGCTTAACACAGTCTGCTCAAAGCCTAGAAAAAAGCTCAAAATTTACACTGATTTAAACTATTGTGGCATTTCATTGATTCATATATAATACAATTATTTGCAAACACAAATCAATCAGCAAAAGGTAGCAAAAAGGTGTACTTTCTTTAAATCTATGTTTGTTTGGTGCAATTTTGGAAAAAATATATCATCATGAATATCATAGGAAATAGTAACTTTGCTTGGCAAGAATTAACTGATAAATGCACGAATGAAGTATGGAAGAAGTTATGGCTAAAGGTATCCAAGAATTCTCAATGAGAAGAGCCTATCATTGTATCATTAGGTTGACCAAACTCAACCTAATAGATATAGCAGGACTAGGAGATATAGACAAGCAGGATATTGAGGAGTTACAGCAGGTTTCTGGTGAGAGCCTTACCAACAACAACCTTCAAGAACTGGCGGAACATGAAATTCATGTGGAACTGGAAAATAGATATTCTGAAAACAAAGAACCCAAAAAATTTCTCTACAGATTTCCTTAGTAAAAGTTTGGTAAGATAACCAAAATCATTGATCAAATTGAGAGCGAATGATCCAGATTTTGAAAGGGGTGTAAAAGCAAAACGAGGCATTTTGGATGCGATCTTCTGCTACCAACATTTTCGTAAGGAAAGAAAAAAGCAACAAATAAAACTTCATGAGTTTATTGCAAAAGAACAAGAATTTTAGAAAAGTCAGGACCTACATCACAAAAAATGAACTTTACATTTCTTCATGTGCATATGTTTATGTGTTATTTAACATACATTATTATACAAATTAATATAAAAATAACTTAAAATGAAAGTAAAATTTGTTTATTTTTGGTCGCATGTTCCCCATATCCCTATTTACTCTATGTTAAAATGACCTTGTTTAACTTAGCACTTTGTTATCTAGGAATGCATCCCCGCATTAAGCAGAGTATTACTGTAGTTGTCAGATATTTCTAGATTTGGCTACCCAAGTGATAGCCAAATCGTAAGCATGAAGTTAATGATAGTTCAAAGTTGTCACATTCCTGATCAACTCAAATTATTGAGACTCTAATTTATGAGATACAACATTCTACAGGTGCTCCCCTACTTACAAACAGGTTATGTTCTTGAGGTTTTTGTCTTAAGTTGAAAACAAATCCAGAAAGAACAATTCTACTCAGAATAACCCCATATTGTTAATGTTTGACTTCAATGTATTTAATAAAATACATTACACTCATTTACCCTGAGTTCTACTGTTTACTAGCAGGTGTTTCAAATGCCTTTTTTCCACCTAACACACTTAGTTCTATAATGTGAAGTTTAATTTCCATGGTGATAGAGTGATACCTCTTGTATTTATCTAGAACATTAGGCATCAGTATTAACTGACAGAATCCATTCTGCCAATAAAATCTGATGAGTCTATTGATGTATGAATGTGCCAATGCATATTTGGGACATGAAGTGTAATGGTTCTAGTCTTGGATCAAGTCCTCTTATGACATCCTATACATGTGCTAGAGTTATTTATAGCTTTATAAATAGTGGGNAAAAATTCATTGATCATGTAGTGTTAATAATAGATACAGAAAAGGCCACTGGTATTATGTGCAGTATACTCCTTCATATTATTTATGTAGCCATTTTTCTTCTTTTCACCTCCCTTGCAGTGGGATGGACTTGCCAATTATTGCAACTTTCCTTCTATAATTTCTTCTATTTCTTCTAAGTAATTTTCCATTTTTAAATCTGAAATAAAATATATATATTTTAAAAACTGATTCTGACAAATTATCTTGTGTTATTTGTTGATTCTTGTTCATACTTCTCTGCATTGATTATAACAAACCTTGACAACATTACTGATGTTCGCGACTATAGCAGTAAAATATCCACTTGATTATAAATAGTCTTGTTTGCTAACGTGAAACCCGCGCTAGTATCTCATGTAACTTCTGATGACATTCTTCTCTCTTCTTGAAATTTACATAAAAAAAAGTTTGTATATTGGATAAATTTTAAAGTGAGATAATAGAGGTGAAGAATTCCAATATAAAGGTGTACTGTAAGTTTTTTTGTAATAATGTCCGTTGCATTAAAAAATAACAATTTTTTTAATATTTATTTTTTACAAGATTAAATAATAGATATTAAAATTTACCTTCTGTTCATGTATACTACGTGCTGGAATTGCAGGTGAACGAGGAGGATGAGATCCTAGAAAAGAAGTTGGTTCCTGTGGAAGACAGCTACTAGTGGTATGAATGCTACTGGTATCCATTTGTTCTTCACTCAGTCTAGATATATTAAAAGGAGTTAAGATGTCCAACTGTGATGGTCCAACTGGTGATGAAGTCCCATTTTTTGAATTTTCCTCAAAAGAAAATTGATTCACTGATTTGGAAGGACTATAAAATTTAAGTATTTTAATTAACATGATCTCAAACTTAAAATATAGTGGTTTTGAACTTTTACTTATGTATACATTGGAACCTTGCTTAACGAGCACCTCTCATAACAAGTAATTCGCATAACAAGCAAAACAAATTGTAAAAAAATGACTTACTTAACTAGTGACACTTCTCAAGAGTGACAAGGAGAGGGGAAGTCCCAGATTGTGCACATGCTACATCAGTCTGTGTTTAGCACTTGTTTTGCTAGCATTTTAGTGCTGCTTGTGATCATACATTTTTCCAAATTTGTGTGTTCAGACATAATACATATAAACATCAACAACCATAGCCCGTTATATAATAAACACGTCAAATGGTATAACAAATTCTTGGGCTATTTGTAAAGACTATAATTAAATATTAGAAATTAATTAATTTGACTAAAGGTAGGCAGTTATGCTGCCATCTCATATTAAATTTAATGACCAATTCCAAATTAAATTCCAAAAATGTCTAAATTAAAAATTATTTATTTATAATTATTAAATTTAATAAGAGATGACAACATAACTGCTTACTTCTAGTCAAATTAATTAATTTCTAATGATAGCTTTTACATAGCCCAAGAATTTGGCATATCGTTTGGCATGTTTATCAGACATATTATCTGTGATTTTTTTTTTTGTTTTCTGCAAATCAAATTCGCATTCCAGGTTGGTTCATTCTGCAGTAGAAGATAATGATGATTCACACTCTTTAACAATATATATTGTATAATTTTCTTTGAATAAACATTATACATAAAATATTTGAAAATTTTTTTTTGGCATGGAATGCATTATCGCATTTTACATTAATTTATATGAAAAAAATTGTTTCATGTTGTGAGCGAGATTCTGGAATGAATTATGCTCATTAAGCAAGGTTACACTCAGTGGTGATATTCAGCGGGTTCGCACAGGTTCGGCCGAACCCGTTGTTAACATTTTCAAAGTTTTCCGAACCCGTTGTTAAACACACGTAACATTTCTCAGTGGTTTTGTTTCTTTTAAAAAATATATTAAAATATACATATTATACTCTGTAACACTACTAAACTAGAGCCTTATATCCTGTTTGCCTAGTGCAACCGCCATCGACCGTTTCAATTTCAACTAAAACAAGGTTCAATCGCGATTGACTCGAGAGAGTTCTCGAAACTAGATCCAGTCATAAGAGAGATCCCACAATCCCACGCGCGTGAGAAAATACAAGATGGCTGCGGAACACATGTCGGGCTATCGACAGCGAAATAAGAAAGATATTGTATTTCGAGAGACGATGACATCTGTCTATTATTATAATAATACCTAACGATAAAATAAATGATTTAGAAAAGTTTTTCTTGTTTAACTGCTTTCCCTATGACTTTTTCTAATTAAAAAAAAACCAATTTTTATGTTTATAAAATATTTTGAATGAAAAATATTAAAATATGTTATTATTTTTTTTTATTATTTATAAAAAAATATAGTTCTGGCATACACAATATTAAATTTTAACTGACTTAATTTTGTGAATGCATCTTTTTTATTTATATGGGTATCTTAAGGTCAGTTTTTGAGCTAATGTTGCTAATGCACCATTTGAGCGAAAAAAAAAATTGTTAAGGAAAAATTTTCTGTTTGCAAACCCTTTGTTAAATATTTCGAATATCACCACTGGTTACACTGTATATAAAGAAATAATAAACCAATTACCTGAAAGGCCAGCGTGGGCTATGAGAAAATTTCCTTGGTGATCTTGCTCTAAGAATTAAAGGTCGAGGTAACTCTTCTAAAACAGATGGAGCCACATATGTAAAACCCTATATCAAAAACATTAATAAGTCATTCATTATTATTTATCTACATAATATATTAAATACATTAGCATATATTTTAAAACTGAAATTAAACTAGAACTCAAACATAACTTTTATGCATATATAAAATTTAGAGATCAAATAGAAATATGAAATCATACAGAAAATAAAACAATTTATCACATCTAAGTTATGTCATACTCGATTTGAAGTTCAGAGATGATGTATTCTTATTGGCATAAAAAAATTATTTGTTTTTAAAGGAAGCTATAATAAATTGAAAGTTCTGATCATCTCTCTTTGTGTGTGGGATGGTGACTGTGACCATTCATTGTCAGTTGTTTCTCAGCACAGTTCATTTGTCATTGCTCTCTACAGTTCTCCTCTCTCATTACAGATAAATTTATTATTATTATTAAATAACTGTCATTTTTATTCTTAGTGTTAGGTAGTCCTTTGTTGTGGTCACTTAGTCTATCAAATATATTTATTAAAATACAGATAAAGAAAAATTAAAATAAGTCAATTTTGTATTGTTAAAGTATATTAATAATTTTAAATGTTATGTTATAGATTTAATGTTTTAATAATGAAATAAATAAATAATAAGTATTTGAAGAATTTTAGGCCATATGATGTTAAAAAGCTGGGTATATTAGACAGTCTATATATAATTTACTCTGAATTTTAATTTATAAATAACAAAAACTGTTTACTTTTATTTTCTGTATATTAGGGGTTCCCAAATTGTATTTCACAGGACCCTAGGGTCCTGTGAAATACAATAGACTCATCAGACTTTATTGGCAGAATCCATTCTGCCAATAAAATCTGATGAGTCTATTGATGTATGAATGTGCCAATGCATATTTGGGACATGAAGTGTAATGGTTCTAGTCTTGGATCAAGTCCTCTTATGACATCCTATACATGTGCTAGAGTTATTTATAGCTTTATAAATAGTGAGGACCAATTTATCTGTAACAAAATGAACTAAAATCTTGATATAATGTTTGACAAGGTAAAACCATAAAAATGGCAAAATTTAAACCAAAGCTAGAAAATCATTTTAAAAAATAACCTTATAACCTTAAAAAGTATCTAACATATAATAATACAGTTGTTAAATATGATAAAGTAATTTAACAACTGTATTATTATTTATTCATTGATATCTGCAGTGCAAGCCTATTTAATCTAATAATGGGAGAAGCCAGTCAGATGTCCAATGGAGTACCATTGGACATCTGACTGGCAATCTGACTGGGTTAAGTTGAAAACAAATCCAAAACTATACATACTTTGATACTAATGATGGAACACTCATGTCAGATGCTAGTGAAGGGGTTAATTAATTAATGTCTCATCATCTGTAGTATGTTGGAGTGCAATGGTACATCATACAAGCAGGCATATCAGTCAAAGATTATTAGTTTTGCACTGCATTTGTTTTGTGATATTTTTTTCACATAACAATATATTGGGAATCATATAAATTTATAGTGCTTTTAGTATTGTGTATATCCAAAATTAAAATATCATGGAGTGTTGGCCATGAGAAGGAGATTTGAAGAAAAATGTAGCAAATACTTCAAATGTTTATAGTTACAAGGAGACTGAAAAGGCAGATACCAACAAAGGTACAAATCCAGGCACTAAAGCTATTTAAAATATTGAAAGAAAATAAATTTTATCCATCACATTAATTATCAGTTTGAATTAAGTAATAATATTTGCTTTCTATTACTAATCTGTTTTTCTTCTTCAATAAATTGTCTTTGGTGTTTCTATTTACTGTTTTACCTATGATCATTAAAAATTGTCAGGGTGCCAACATTTTTTATTAAAGTGAAACACAATAAAAATAAGTTGGGAATTGTATTGTATTCCCTACGAACAATAATTTTAAAAAAAATGTCTTTGTCTTTATTTCAGACCAACATTAAAAAGGCTGATATATAAATTTAAAGTATTTAATTTAATTATATTTATTTATTTAATGTTTAATTTAATAGGTCCCAACATTTAAAATTATTTTCTTTTGAGAATATTTTGCTTATATCATTGTTGTTTTTCCTTCTAATAAAGTTTTGTAGATAAAAAACTGTTCACTTTTATTTCCTGAATTCTTTACAAACAATTACACTCATTAAAACATTACAGTCCTCTTCATATACAGTCCACTTTTGTATAGAAATGAATTAATGCATTTATAGCATTAAAAAAATTATTATTTAACTATACTTAACAAAATCACAATGTATATTGTTGCATATAAATATGAAATATTTTAATCATAAGATATTGATAACAATTTAATATAATGGTAATAACTATTCATTCTCATAAATGGGGGATGAGTGGTTATGTACAATTATAAATATCTATGGTATTTGAAATTACACATACATTACTTTTATGTGAAAATTATTATATGTGATTATTTTTCTGTGTGCGCACTTTTCTTTTTACACACGACAATGGGATTTTTTTCCGTGCATAATTTTCATGCAAGCTTTTTTCATACACCCATTTTCAAAAATATTTACAATGGCAAACATGATTTATTGGGCAATCCACAATGCAATCATCTTGCAGAGGTTAATAAAAAATACTTATAATTATTCAAATACTTTAAATTTTGAGTTACCCCTCTTTTGATTTCTTCTGGATCTGTCACTGCAAGCAACAACAAAATAAAATATAAAATATATTAATACCATATCTCATATACTGTGTATGGATGATAAAAATGCTTTTACAATAAAGTCTTGATAGTTTGAGGCACTACCACCTTTAAACCAAAGTGCACATACTAACCACAATGCATAAAAATTACATATTTGGGTAATTCAAATAAAGTTTATGATGAGACACAATACACTGAAAAATGTAACATCTACTTTCAATTTATTGAATTGTGAAATGATATACAGTAAGACCCTGCTTAACACAGTCTGCTCAAAGCCTAGAAAAAAGCTCAAAATTTACACTGATTTAAACTATTGTGGCATTTCATTGATTCATATATAATACAATTATTTGCAAACACAAATCAATCAGCAAAAGGTAGCAAAAAGGTGTACTTTCTTTAAATCTATGTTTGTTTGGTGCAATTTTGGAAAAAATATATCATCATGAATATCATAGGAAATAGTAACTTTGCTTGGCAAGAATTAACTGATAAATGCACGAATGAAGTATGGAAGAAGTTATGGCTAAAGGTATCCAAGAATTCTCAATGAGAAGAGCCTATCATTGTATCATTAGGTTGACCAAACTCAACCTAATAGATATAGCAGGACTAGGAGATATAGACAAGCAGGATATTGAGGAGTTACAGCAGGTTTCTGGTGAGAGCCTTACCAACAACAACCTTCAAGAACTGGCGGAACATGAAATTCATGTGGAACTGGAAAATAGATATTCTGAAAACAAAGAACCCAAAAAATTTCTCTACAGATTTCCTTAGTAAAAGTTTGGTAAGATAACCAAAATCATTGATCAAATTGAGAGCGAATGATCCAGATTTTGAAAGGGGTGTAAAAGCAAAACGAGGCATTTTGGATGCGATCTTCTGCTACCGACATTTTCGTAAGGAAAGAAAAAAGCAACAAATAAAACTTCATGAGTTTATTGCAAAAGAACAAGAATTTTAGAAAAGTCAGGACCTACATCACAAAAAATGAACTTTACATTTCTTCATGTGCATATGTTTATGTGTTATTTAACATACATTATTATACAAATTAATATAAAAATAACTTAAAATGAAAGTAAAATCTGTTTATT